AAAGATCATCGAATCGAGCCCCTCAGTGGAACAAATGGGGAATCTGAAGCCATGAGTGAGAGGGAGCTGTTAGAACTCGAAGACGGAGCCCCCGACCGTGGCCTCCAGAGGCCTCCCCAGCGTCCTATCCCTTCCTGTGGAGGCCGAAAGAGGGCTTGCAGGGAGGCGCACGCCCCGATCCCTGCAGGCCGCGGACCGGACTTTAGGTTAAGGACCTGAGCTGGGGAGGGTCTCCTGGATTGTCCGGTGGGCCCCACACGTGGTCAGTCGCAAGTCCTTCACCCTTTCGTCACCTCCCCGCAGGCTGCGGACGGAGGCCGTCTCCTCTACCTCCGAGCTCCTTTCCAACCGGTCTCACCCCTGGGCTCCCCGCCAGGAGCCCGATTTCAGCAAGAATCCTGCCAAGTCACTTAGCCAGACCCCTCCCCCCGCCCCCCTGCCGTGTCTCCTCTCAGCAGCTCCCTGTCCACCGAGCCGCCTCCCTTCAGCTGTAAAGCGGCGTGTGTCCCCCAGGACTTCTGTGACCTCCCTCTCCTGATTCCGCCGGCGGGAGCCCAGTGGCCAACACAGCCGAGGGACACGGAGAGCATGTCGTCAGTTCAGCTAGTCGTTAAGGACTCCGCGCGTGGCTCCAGCCAGGACTGAGCCGGTGCAGAGGTTAGGAGAGGTCACTGGCGCCGTGACCGTCTCTTGGAAGGCAGCCGCCAGGGACAGTGTGAACAAGGGACCCCCTGTGTCCCCTCCCCCCTCCAGCCCCTTCCGGGCCTCCGTTTCCTTGACTGCCAGCGTGGCTGCCCCTGTGACCTCTAGCCCCCTCGGGCACCTGGCGGGCGGCGGGTGGGGATGCTGGTCCGGGAGGCGACCTCTGACCCAATTCCAGTGGCAAGAACTTCCCGGGAGCCTCCTTGTGGGGCACGAAGCCCAGAGCACGGGTGACAGCGACGTGCCCAGACAGGGGCCCTGGCAGGGTGCCTCCGGGAGGCCTCCTGGGGTCCGCTCGCCTGGCACACAGTGCGACACACCTGTCCCCAAACAGCGCACAGGTCATGAAGGCCGACCATCGCGTGTCAGAGTGTTCGATTCCCTTTTTGGGAAACGTCCGGAACAGGCAAATCCACAGACCCAGAAAGTAGCTTAGTGGGTGCCAGGGCCTGGGGAGTGACTACTGCTCCTGGGAACAGGGTTTCCCTTCGGTGGAGATGGAATGTTCCGGAACTAGATAGTAGGGACGTTTGCACAATGTTTGAATGTTCTAAAATGCCACTAATGGTAAATTTAGAAGAGAGAGAGAGAGAAGCCAGGTCCGCACTGAGCTCCGGGTCCCGCTAACACCCGTGCGGCTGATCCAGCCCCCGGCCTTTGCGCGGGCCGGGCCCTCTGCCGGGGACGCCCTCCGCCCACCTGCTGGCCGGGCTGACCGCGGCTTTCCCCATCGGGTCTCCAATCAGAGAGGACCCTTCTTTCCGGGACAGGGCCTGGCCCCTCGTCCTGGTCCCCGGGGAGGCCCTGGTCTCCTGGGTCAGCCTCCCCCTGCCCCCCGCCAGGCTGGGAGCAGCATGAGGGAGCAGGACCCTTGCAGGACCCCCAGAGCCAGCGGATGAACAGGTGCATGAATTTATGAGCGAAGGGGTCAGGTTTCCAGAACCCCCTCAGGGTAACTGGAGACTTGGTGGGGTGGGGAGAATGGGTGGCCCCATCGCCCCCAGACCGGGAGCAGCCCCCGTGATCCCAGCCGCAGCTGTGCCCCTATGCAGCCCGCCCCGCCCTGAGGGGCGCCTCGTCCGGGACAGTGAAGCCAGTCCCGCGGGGCCGGGCACCTCTCCTGGCCCCTCTGTCCTGGGTGCCCAGTCCTCCTGCACCTGGCAGGGGGGTTCTAGGCTGCCCTCTGTGGGGCACAGCCCCCACTGTCCTGTGTGGCCCTGGGCGGGCCGTGTCGCCTCCCCTTGCTCACACGGGCACCGTGCTGGGTGGGGCGTGGGCTCCGACTGTTATTACGTGATGTTGTGATGCATCACAAGAAGGAAACACTTGGTCTCAGTCCCAGCTCCTGGCACACAGTTCCTAAACCCTTGGGACTTCCTAGGTGGGAAGAGGGAGGACCTCTGTCCTTGGTTCCTGAAACAGGTCCAGAGCCATCGAGATGAAGGCGGTGTCTTTTGCTGTTTGTGACGCGCCCTTTAGTCACACCTGTGTTTATGCGAGTGGGGGGACTTTTGGAAAGCCAAGGCCACAGGCTGGGGCTGGCGACCAGCGGACCCCCGAGGAGAGGCAGGGCTGGGGGTGGGGTTCATCACCAACGGCCAGAGGTGAGGACGCCTCCTGTGGGTGACGGGACGGCTCGGGGACGCGCCCCTCGCACACGCCCTGCCCCCCCCATCTCTTCCGCTGGCTGTTCCTGAGTTAGATCCTTTGTCATGATCAGGTTAAAAGCACGTAAACCTTTTTCTTGAGTTCTGTGAGCTGCCGGGGGAAGGTTGAGGGAAGTCCTGATTTTTGGCCACTTGGGACAGAAGTGTGGGTGACCTGGGGGCCCGCCCCCGGGGCCTGGCGTCTGAGGTGGGGACGTGCACACGTGCGGGGCTGAGCCCTTAACCTGCGGGGTCCGTGCATGGCTCTGCGCAGTGTCAGGATTGGGTTAGGTCGCAGGACACCCCACCGGTGGCCGCCGGGAGCTCGTGGGGACCCCTCCCCGAGTCCGGTGTGGGAAGTGTTGGTGTGAGTGTAGAGAGACACAGAGTCTTCTCTTTCAGTAATAGTAATAATAACATATATATAATTGTTAAATTATTACTACTGTCACCTGCTGACTAGGTTTGATTCCAGACAGGACTGGGAGGTTACCCGAGGCCGCCTGCCAGGGGTCACCCAAGGTCACCCAAGGTCACCTGCGGCCACCGGCCCGAGGTCGCCCGGCAGTTCAGGCCAATTCGTCCGCTCCCGGCCCAAGGCCAGCGCCACACCTTGGGGAAGTGGACAAAAGTAACCAACCTCCCTTCTCAGTTACCGCTTCTTTATTTCCACATAAAAATCCCCCAAAGCTCATGGAAATGATGTCTGAACATCATGACAGTAATCCTAATGAATTGTTCTGTTTTTAAAAACCACAAAATTCACCGTCGTTAGGATGGGCGTGTGAGCTACGACTGAAGGACGCATCCCCTGTGTCCCGGGAGGAAAACCCAGCGTCCCTTCCCGACGAGGTCCGGGGGCCGGGGGCCGTTGCGTTTTGGCCACGACCACCCTGGAGACACACGCCTTCCGCAAAGCCGATTCGGAGGTGCGGGCGGCAGCCGGCCTGGACACGGCGGCCCCCTCTGGATGGAGCTGTGCGCTGGGACTTCTCGCGCCTGGACACAGCCCCTGCCCCCGGGGTCTCTCTTGATCCCAGAGGGGCTGCTGCGGCCGAGCTGGGGTCCTGGGTCCCGCCTGCCCATTGTCTGTGGCTGCTGGTGGTCCGGAGGGGTGGCGGGCCGGCCACGCTGGGCCAGGTGGACCCCGTTGCAATTTCTTGTGCAGCCTGCAGGCTCCTCCGGGGGTGGGGGGCGGGAGGCTGGGGTCTGCTGCTTCCTGTCCCTCTGTCGCCTCCCGGGACGCTCAGTAACTGGCTCGGGGTAGACGGCATCAGTTCCTATCCCTTAGCTTGCAGCCAAGTTCCAGCCTCCGGGCAGCGGCTGCGTGCATAGAGGTGGGAGTTTGCAGCTTTGGGGTCCACATGTTGATCCCGGGGAAGGACAGCCGGCCGCCCAGGCCTGGAGTTTGGGGCAGGCCCCAAGCGGACTGGGAGTGGGGTCTCTAGGAGGGCAGCCTGGAAGCGGCCCATCTGCCAGTCTCTGCTGCCTCAGGCTGCTGGTGACACGTCTGGGCCCCAACACGGTCCTGTCTTTCATTCGGCATTTGGGAAACACGGCAGAAACACACATTTAAGAGCCCCCCACGCCCCCAGGTGTCCCCGCCTTTCCGGGGCAGTGCTGTGCCGCAGAAGATGCGGGCCCGAGCTCGCTCAGAGACTCACCGTTTTCCAACGCGGTGGTCTCCGGTGTTTGGGGGGGGGGGGGACAGTTCCTTGACGTGCGGGACCCTCTCCCGCGCAGCAAAATGTTGGGCATTCCTTTTCCTCAGCACCAAACACCACTGGCTCCCTCCCACCGTTGGACTAACCTCCAAACACCTGACGTCCCAGGTCGAGAGGCATTTGACCTCGCCACCGAGGCCGAGAACCTCATGCTCAGCGTGCATGAATCCCGACCGCTAGAAGCTGGCCGCAGAGCCAGTAGGAGGGGTCCCGGAGAAGGTGCCCAGTCAACTTTCACTCAGATTTATAGAAACAGAGACTCTTAAGATTGGAGGGGACCACAGAGGACCACATTCTGCAAGCGCTTCCCAGCCTTTTCTTAAATGCCTCCTCAGATGGGGAACTCACTACCTCTAACGGCCACCCGACGGGTGTTTGGGCTGCATTAGGAAAGTCTGTCTTTTGTCCAAGGTAAATTTGCCTCCTTTGACTGCAGGTCCCCACAGCATCCAGGCCATGGGGATTTCCTTTCCCAAGTGAACTTCCAAATACTCAAGCCTGTAATACCCTGTATCTTCCTTCACGCAGTTCAGAGCCCATTTCCCCTTGGTGGGAGCCTGAGGGGCACACCCCAACCCTGCAGTGGGGGGGGACCAGGAAAGGGGGGACACTTCATTCCCTCAGTAGGAGGTATTGACCAGGACTGCCCTGGGGTGTGGCATCCATGTGAGAGGGGCTTGAGAATGTTCTAGATGGGGAGGGGCGGTTTTATAACTGAAGGGCCGGGGTAATTATCGGCAGCTCACTGGTGCCGTGGGCTCCGATGCTCCCAAAGAAGGTGGGTGCCAGAAGAGATGGGGGGAGCTGGTCAGATGAAAACCCAGGAGGTGGAAGGCTGGGAGGTTCCCGGGGGGGCACGGCACAGGTCGGGGGCTGAGGCTCCAGGCCGGATGCCCAGAGCAGCAGGGGCTCTTCTAGGAGAAAAGGCACAAGAACAGATCCAGATCCGGCCAGGGAGCCGGTGGGCATTGGTGGCTCCAAAGTGGGCCAGGTGACAAGCAAGAGAAGGGTCTTGAATCAGGACTTTGTGCAGTGGGAGGGGGTCTCTGAAGCCATCAAGGACACCCGGGCCATGCCCTGAGCTTCTTGCTCTTCTTGGCCGTGAGCTCATGAGCGTGGAAGGGTGGAGGGCTGAGGACTGGGTCCTTTTCTGGAACACACTAATACCGCGTTGTTTAAAACAAAACAAAACATTCTCAAGCAGCTAAAAAGGAGGCTGGGTTTCAGAGAAGGATGGAGACTGGCATCCTCCGAAGACGGGGACTCAGGATGAGGGGGGGATGAGGTCCAGGGCCGGAGGGCGTCTGACAGAGATTTCTTGGCATCTAGAATCTTCTTTCTTGTCCTGCTCTGTATTCTTGTCACCTCAGGACAGGCTAGAGAGGAATAAACACAGGTCAGGTCATTGTTACTGTTTTTAAAGCAAGCGGGGCATGCATCCCTGTGTGGAATCCAAGAGCATGACCCAATCCGGCTTTGGGGGTCTTCAGCAGCAAGAGGGGTACCCGCTGCCTGCCACCCACCTTCCAGGTGTGGTTCTGAAGGGGACCGCTCCCTCCGTGCCGTAGCAGAATCGGCCCTGGGGCTGGCGCCTCCAGTCAGACCCGAAGGAAGCTTCAAAGCAGCCCCCTGTCCTTGGTCCCTCCATCCGCCATCTATTTACCTACACATCTGTCTGTCCGTCCATCCATCCGTTGCTTCCTACAGTATCTTCTTTTGTGTCTTTCATTATTTTATTTTTAAAGATTTTATTTATTCATTTTTAGAGAGAGGGAGGGAGGGGAGGAGCAGAGCGGGGGGGGGACAGGGAGAAGCAGACTCTATGCTGAGCGAGGAGCCCGATGTGGGGCTCGATCCCAAGACCCTGAGATCGTGACCTGAGCCGAAATCAAGAGTCAGACACTTGGGGCGCCTGGGTGGCTCGGTCGTTAAGCGTCTGCCTCCGGCTCGGGTCATGATCCGGGAGTCCCGGGATCGAGTCCCACATCGGGCTCCCCGCTCAGTGGGGAGTCTGCTTCTCCCTCTGCTGCTCCCCCTGCTTGTGTGCGCTCTCTGTCTCTCTGACAAATGAAATCTTTAAAAAAAATTCTAAAAAAACCCCAACAAGCCACAACTGTAAGTACAACACCTTTGTCGAGCTCTGTGGGTCCGTCCAGCAAACCTGAACCTGAGGGTGGTCTCCATGACCCCCCAACACACAGGCTTTCCTGGCATCGGGAACAGGTGGGGACCCTGAGACAGGCCGTGGGCAAACGGTGTACCCGTGGCTGAGTAATACAGCCCGGGCTGGGGGCCCCTGGCCGGCTCAGTCCGTAAAGCACATGACTCTTGATCTCAGGGTTGTGAGTTCAAGCCCCGTGTTGGGCGTGGAGGCTACTTAAAATTAAAAATAAAAATAAATAGCTGGGCTTTATGGGGCCTGGCTCCAGGCCAGTGTCTCAGTCAGGGCCACCATGTGGCTTAGCTCCGGGGCCTCATGGCAGTGGCGCCCCCTGGAGTTGTGCAGGAACAGGCTGCCTGCCACAGAGGAGACCCTGGAGTCCCGGGAGCCGATGCCTCTCTGACTCCCCAGACAGTGGATCGTGGGGCGGTTCTCATGCGGCAGGCTCCACGTGGGACATCTGGAAAATCAGGCACCGAGATGGCTCTGCGTCCCACTCACCTCGTCTCCTGATCTTCTGTACCTGGCGCAGATCTGTGGAAGAGAGACGTCTTAGCATGATTTGTCCATCTGGGGAGCCCTGGCTTTTGGCCGAGAGCCCCAGCAGGGGCCGACACGGCTTCATCTTCATCTGTTACAAGTAAGGGCTGGCGCGTGTCTGCTGCATAACCGGTGAGCAGGCGGGGTCCAGCGACGACGGGCCGAGACCACCGAGGTTGCTCATGGTCCGGGCAGCCCGTGCCTCTGGGTCGCGGGAGGGCAGGAGATGGAGGCTACTGAGGAGGGTCAGATGCAGGAGGCGGGCAGGGCAGGGGCAGGGCAGGGGCAGGGCAGGGCAGGGGTGGATGATGGGGAGAGGGCCGGAGCCGGGCTGTGTTTTCCGCCCCCCATCCCAGGGCGAGGCGCCAGAGGACTTGCTGGGTGTGAAGAAAGAAAAGCGGAGGAGGGGAGGGAGCAACGGCTTGACGGGTATGGGGTCCCTTCTGGGGTGACGTTCTGGACCTAGAGAGTGGTGCAGGATGCCCAGCTCTGCCAGTGCCCTAAAGGCGCCCGGAAAGTGCGCTCAAAAAACAGTTTGCTGCATGTGAATTTCACTTCCGTAGAATAGCCCCCGGAGAAGAGGGGGGGGTGCTGGGACCGGCCACCCAGGGGCTTGGCCCACGGCCCCAGGCAGGCAGGCAGCCGAGCCGGACAGGAGCGGACTTTTACGTTTTATCAACTGATAGTTTATTTATTTTTAAAGACTATTTTTTTTGACGTCCTCTCTCAGCCCAGCGTGGGGCTCGAACTCACAGCCCTGAGATCAAGAGTCCCACTGTGTACTGACAGCCGGCCAGGCACCCCGACGGTTTCAGTGGAACCGCTGGCCTCTGCGGTGTCCCCGTGGGGACAGCCCGGGGTGGAGGGAAGAGGGACCCCGATCCCGAGCACTCATGACGGCGCCGTGGTCGCTCTTACCGGCCGTTCAGGGGCTCGGCAGCCTCGCCCGTGGTCACCCGCACACCCACCTGCTCTCCGCCGGGGCCGCCTCTGGCTTCTCCTCGGACCTGGGCAGGACGAACTCTGGCTGCGGCCTGGCGCTGGGGACACAGGGGGACAGCGAGGGTGGTGAGCCAGCGTGGCCCGCTGTGGCCTCTGAGGGCAGCACGGACGGGGTCTCTCTGCCCCCGGACGGGCCCCGAGGGCGCAGAGATGCCCCCCGGGGTTACTGACAGCAGAGGCGGCCGTGAGGAAGGGGGCGTGCGCGAGGGCAGGACGGGGGAGGAAGGAGAGACCCCGAACATTTGTCTCAGCTGGTCATCCCTGACACCTCGTGCCTTTGTCCCGCGGCCCTCCTTGCGCGGACGCTGTCGCCCTGTGCCCTGACTCCGGCTCTCGGGGCCGGTCTCTGTTCCCTCCACAGCTAAGGCTTGGGAGGCCGGTGGGGCACCATCCGGGGAGACAGAGGGACAGACATGGTGAATTTTATGTTGCGTGTATTTTACCACAATAAAACATTAAAAGAGAGTGAAAGACAGGATGGAAGGCAGAGGGGGAGGGAGGGAGGGTAGAGGAGAAGGCTCGGGCCCGTGCGTCCGCCTGCCCTGGGCCTCCCTCGGTGCGGCCCTCGGCTCGTCATTACTGGAGGACACGGTGCGAGGCCGCCACACCCTCTGCTCCTTCTGTGGCTCGTCCGCCCACGTCACCCACCCTGCCGCAGGACCCGCTCTCCTTACTTGGTGAGGTGTCCCTCTCCTGTGCCATTCGAGGAGCCCTCTGGACCACGACCCTCTTATCCACCTGTTTCCCCTGAGGCAGGCACAGGGCCTGGCAATGACAGAAAGCCCCAACCCTTTCCCAGACTTGCTGTGTGGCCCTGGGCAGGTGCCTTGCCCTCTCTGAGCCTTGGATCCCCAGGCTGTAAGATGCTGTCAGGAATCCCGGCCCTGCCCCGCTCTGGGGGGTGGGGCGGGCCTGGAATACCCCCGAGGTCCCTGTGACCGCCATTCGTGGTTATACCACTGATGGAAATTGAGCCAGAAAGCTAGTGAAGGGGCATTTCTGGGTCTGTCCGGGGTGAGGGTGGAGCTTGTGTCCTCTCTATCAAGGGACAACTTAATTTTATCATGATTACTACGAGCCACCGTTTTTGCTAAATGGGTCCCATTGTCTTGATCTCTCACGTAACTGAACTTTTTACTCGCCTAACATCACTCTGGGATTCAGTGGGGGAGACCAGGTTAGAACCCTCGTCCGATTCAAAGCCCGCAACACGGCCGTGTGTGTGGATGCCATTGGTCCCTGCTGAGCGGAAGCCACCAGCTGCCCCCCGACTGTGGGCCCCACCCAGCCCCAGCCCTGAAGCGGCCCTGATGCGACGGCCCCTCTGCACAGACCTCTCTCTCCTGGCCTTGAGCCTTTCCTCTTCGTACCTGGAAGACAGAAAGTAAAACGCATCAGACACGGCCCTGCTTCCCCGGTCTGTGTGCTGCCCGGGGGCTCTCTTTCCGCTTGGGAACGGAGAAACGGTCTCATGCCAGCATCTGGTAGATACCACTCAGCAGATGTTTTGGGGGGCCTGATTCAGCACCAGAAATTGCACACAGCCATTAGAAAGCATGCCCCTACATCAGGGCCGTTTTCTTACAAAAGGCTGGAGAGTAAATATTTTCCACTTCGTGTAGGCCAGTTTCAGCCACAGTTACTCAATTCAGATGTAGCTCAGAAGCAGCCCTAGTGGATCCGTCCATGGATGGGGCGTGGCTGTGTGCCAATAAAACTTGATCGATAAAACAAGCTGTGGGCCGGGGCTTGGTGGCCCACTTACCCTCTGATCTCACATGTGTGTGTTTCACTGCGTTTCCCTCTGCTCTGCGGCTCCCGCTCATGTCTGGTTCCCCAGGCATCCGAGAGGGGAGGGGTGGGGCCCGGGGAGGGGTGGTGTGGGGGATGGGGGCGGGGGACAGTCGCACGCCACGAGGGACACTTACTGAAGCACGCACTCTGGGATTTGCACATGTTCCATGGGGATGAGCTGCTCCAGATCTTCCAAGCTGTGCACGTACTGGATCTTGTTGATGAATTTGACGCTGGCAGGAGGAGAAGGAGGGAGAGGTCTGTGGGCTAAGCCTGGAAGGTGTGCTGGCCAACAGGGATGCCCTGAGCACCTTCCATCAAACCTCCGTCCCTGCCCGGCTAGCCTCTACCCGTGGCCCTCGTGAGGGTGGACAGAGCAGCACCCGGGGTCAAGGGAAGGGTCCCCGCTGAGCTTTGTCACCAGCTGCTGCTTTGAACTCATGGTTACTGTTGTTGTTTTTTTTTTTTTAATTTAATTAAACTACGTTTGGTGAAATGCAAAATACGCTTTCTTTCAAGGTCAAATAATGTTTCTAAATGACAGACAGAAGGTCTGGAGAATACAGCACTACAGAAAATAATAGAATAATCGAGTAACAGTAAAACAACAACAACAACAACATAAGATAGAGCCCAACATCTACAAAAGTGTGCTAAGGCGTTTCCTATCTATTTTTAGAGATGAGATGAAAATTCGGCTCCGGCTTTCTAGCAGCCGATGCAAAGGGAGACACATGATGAATTACACGGTTCACAGTGTCCATTAGGGAAAAAGCAAGCCGGCGCTCGGCAGAAGGCCGCTCGTAACTGATTAGGCATGACAGACGTTCCCCGCGGAGAGTCACAAAGCGGCCGTGTGCAGCGGAATGAGCTGCGCCAACTGCTTTCATGCAGTTCAAACCACTCTTTTTTAAATAAGAAGGAAAAAAAAAAAACACCCAGTTATTCTTGGAGCCCGAGGTCTCCCTCCTGTTGTCATGAGAAGGGCCCGCGGGCAGGGAGTGAGCCTCAGACAGACAGGCTGGAATCCTGTCTCCACTACCTGAGTACGTCCGGCCCGGAGGGCTTGCAGGGTGGACCGAGCTGATTTGTTAGAAAGGATTTTAGGGTGCGCAGAGCCCGCACCTGCCGCCACCACCTGGTGATGCCCAGCATGCCGGTCCTCAGACACCAATGCCCGAATCTCCACGGTGACAAGGCTCTGTCTGCCTGTGGGGCCAGCTTCCTGTCTCACAGTGGCAGGCGGGGAGGGGGGGTCCTGGGAGGCAGAACTCACTGGGGCGAGGGGCATCCCCAGCCTTCTGATCATCACAGGACAAAGTGGCCTCGTCTTGAGTTGTAATCACACCCTCGGGGCCGCCGGGGACCCAGAATGGTCTCCGCTTTCCTCGGCTTGTAAATGGGGACACTCACTTTTCTCTCCTGCTTCTTTCTTTTGCTTTGAAAGCTCAAAATGAGACCCTCAAAATTCGCTCGTGGGAAAGCAGTCACGGGTGAGAGAGTTATCTGCATTCGAGGCAAATGTCAGCTGCCGGTTGGGGGGTACTGAGGACAGCAGAGTGCGCTTCTGTTCGGCTGGGGTGCGTGCTCACCGTTTAGCCCAGGGGGTCCATCGTTACACACACAGCCCGTGATGAGCATACAGACTCCCCTGATTTTACTAGTATGCAAATATTTTAAGGTGCTGCCAAGTCCCTGAACTCAGACGGGCTGAGGTCACCTCCTTGCAAATTGTTCACGCTGAGAGCATGATCCTTCGGAGGGTCGACCTTCCCTCAGGCTCATCACACATCATTAACTGGGAATGTGGACGTGAAGGATTTTTTTTTTTTTTAGGTTTATTTACGTAAGCAATCTCTACACCCCACGTGGGGCTCAACCTTAAGACCCTGAGATCAAGAGCTGGGCGTGCGCTCTACTGCTCAAGCCAGCCAGGCACCCCCTTGAAGGATCTCGATTCGATTCAATGCTTTGAATCATATTAAATTAAATATCGGGTTTATGTGATCGACTAGGGCGTTTCACACGACTAATTTTGTTTTACTTGATCTGTATATCGGGCACTTTTATATCGCGCAGTAAAGGATTAACCCGGCGGGTTGAAGTGCTCAAACCCCGCCCACTGCAAAGAAAAAAAAAAAAAACCGGGTCCTGGTGCTCGTGGGACGTGGCCGGTAAGCACTTGGAATGCCCTGCCTGCTGAGTGCCCTGGGTACTTGGGCCTTGAGCCCTGCCGCATAGTCCGTGTTAAGGATGTGACCTCTGGTGGGCGTCTTGGGCACATCCCATCCGTGTGACCTCTGGGTCGCCCGAAGACAGAAGCTAAGGTGGGTCGCTTGGCTACTCCATCCCCGTGTGGCTAAACCCCTGTGAAAACCTTGGAGAGCAAAATGAGCTTGCTGCCTGATGGTAAATTCCTCTGTTGTTCTTACACATCATCACAGAGACAACTGAGGGCTTTTGCAACCAGTCCGTGGGAGGGGACCCCTTTGTCCTTTGCCACCTTCGATCTGCACCCTTCCCCTGTAGCAAACAGTAACAGCTTCTCTGAGTTCTGTGAGTCCTTCCAGCGAATCGTCACAGCTGAGGGTGGTCTCAAGGACCCCCAACACACACGGCTCGTGACATTATTGCTGGGAGGGGCTCAGACCCTCCTGCCATCCTCAGGGTCCCCACCCAGATGCTGGAGTGGACAGAGCTGGGCTCACTTCTGGGGGGACTGTGGTGGCCTAGCGACCTGGCTGCATGACCCTGGCTGAGTCCCTTGACCCTTCTGAGCCCCAGTTCCCTCCTCTGTGAAATGGGTTCGCGACAGCATCAGCCACTCGGGTCGTGGTTGTAAACGTGAAAAGGTATCCAGCATTTACTATGGGAGGGCTGCTTGCTAGTGTTTTTCCTGTGTTAGTCCCTTAATAACAACACATGGGATTGAAAATGGTTTAAAGCGACAACACAGGGGCGCCTGGGTGGCTCAGTCGGTTAAGTGACTGCCTTCGGCTCAGGTCATGTTCCCAGGGTCCTGGGATCGAGTCCCACATCAGGCTCCCTGCTCAGCGGGGAGCCTGCTTCTCCCTCTCCCTCTGCCTGATGCTCCCCATGCTTGTGCTCTCTCTCTGACAAATAAATAAATAAAACCTTAAAAAAATAATAAAGCAACAATACAGATTCATGGTGGAGATGCCGCAAAATACAGATTAAAACAGGAGACGCACACAACCCGGGAGGGGGGCCGGCATAGGGCACAGGGCGCAGGGCACAGCGTCCTTACCTGATGAAGGGACGGGAGATGGCCAGCACCGTGCGGATGAACCAGGAGGGGTGCACGATGATGAGGGACTTCAGGTTTTTCCGCAATCTGCGGGGGAAGCAGAGGAAGCAAGCCCCCGGGAGGGAGGAGCTACCAGGGGCCGCCTCCCCCTGTGCTCCCAGCGGGCGCCCCTGCCCCCTGAGCTCGTCTCCAGTCTCCAGGGAGGAGAAGGGGCTGCGAAGCTGGGCCCCATCGCGGAGTCTGTGGGCGGCCACCCTGACGTCTAGTCCCGCTGCCACCTCATTCGGAGTCTGAGCTCTCGCCTGTGTGGCCATGCTGCCTCGCATTCCTGGAAGACCTCCCGGGGGCGCCCTGGTTCTGACCGCCAGCTGTGGTCATGTCGCACTGCATCTCCCCCCAAATTCCTGTGTTGTAGTCCTGATCGCCCCCCCAGACCTCAGAACGGGACGTTGGAAAATAAGGTCATCGCAGATGTATTTCACTAAAACGAGGTCACACCGGGGCAGGGTCAGCCCTAATCCAATCGCTGGGGTCCTTATAAAGAGGGGGGGGGTCTGGACAGAGACACACGAGCACAGGCCACATGACCACGGAGGCAGGGATGGGGCGAGGGACGCCGAGGATGGCCGACGACCCCCAGGAGCCGGGAGACACGGGGAACAGACTCCCCCCCTCACGGCCTCAGAAGGAACCGGCCCTGCCCACACCCCGCTCCTCGGCTTCTGGCCTCCTGAGGGGGGACGGCAAACATGCCTGTGGGTTTCAAACGGCCCATCTGCGGTCATCGGTTGGTGGGCTGACCACCACGCCGCCTTCCAGGGGTCCCGGGGCCCTTGAACCCCCAGCGGCCCCGCCCCACGCATGCACCTCCTGTCGATCATCTGGTAACACTTCTTCAGCCAGCCGATGCCGGGCATCCTCCGCCGGGGCGTGGCTCCGTTCAGGTAGACGATCATGTAATCCTCGGCCACCAGCAGTTCCAGACTGCTGATGACGTACCTGGTCACGGGTGCGGGAGCCGGGGGGGGGGGGGGCCCGGCGGGAGGGCCAGAGTTAGGCAGCCCCAGTCCCCGCGACTGAACACCTGTGGCACCTGCTTAGGTGCGGGGTGGGGAGGCGTCCTGGCACACTCGGGGTGGGGGTGGGGTGCATGTAGAGCCCAGCCCACCCCAAATCAGTGTCAGTGGGCATAACCATAGCAGCAGTTACTATTTTATGGAGCACTTATTAGGCACCACGTGTTTTATAGGCATGACCTCATCCAGCGTCTCCATGAATCCTGACAGGTGGATCTCACAGCCCCAGATCCAGCTGCGGAACACGCACCCCCCCCAGTGGACAGTCCACTGTACTGGACATGAGGGGGTCTGGGGTCCGTCCCTGCCCCAACTCTCCCCGAGCAATTTTAGAAAAATCCTTTCCTCTGTCTAAGCCTCTACTTCTCCTCCGTAAGTGGGGGGGATGGGCGTTCCCTGCTCTCTGGGGCCTCTTCCTGCTCTGACCGGTCATCCTCTGAACCACCCGGCACCCCAGCCCCACCGGGTAAGAGGGAAATCTTCCTACTAACAAACACAGGAGTGATCACGGTCTACGGAGCCCTCTCTGTTACCCTCCAGGTGTAGTGTCTGTCTCCGTCATAACACAACCAACCGTAGCAGGGTGTCCCCGGCCAGGTGACGCAACCTCCCCGAGTCCCAGGTGCTGCACCTGCCTGCCCCCCTTGCCCCCGGGTCGTGCCGAGTGTGGACCGCGCCTTCACGGACCACGCGCTTGGCCCGTGGCCGGGGCTGAGGATGGGCGGTTCTTGCGGCCCAGAGAACCGTGGGCGTGGGGCGGGGCGGGGCGGGCCACTTACAGGAAGAGGTTCTCCATGATGTAGTGGTAGTCGGGGGAGCTGCTGTCCGGGAGGAAGCAGGCAGCAAACACGATGATGGCGTTGAGACCTTCGCCATAGTACCCTGGGGAGAGGCGGCCAGGGAGTGGCTGGCGCTCTGAGCTGGCCCGTGCTCTAGCCCAAGCGCCCACCTCTTCGCCAGCGAGGCCCCTTCCCAGAGGGTCCAGCTCTGAGTCGCAGCGCCTTGGCTGGGGGAGTCAGCAAACCCCGGGGCTGTCCGGCCACCCTCGCAGGCACCCCTGTGTGCGCCCAGCCGGTCCATGCCTGCCCCTGCCTCCCAGGGATCAGGACCTAACATCCCTGTGGCTCAGATGAAGAGACTGAGGTTCACAGAGGGCCTCTGACGACCTCCAGTTGGCTGGCGGGAGCCAGGGGGAGCCCGATGGGTGCGTTCTCACCTCCGTGGGTCACTACCCTCATGTAGGGCCGGATCATGTGCAGGTCAATTCGGTGTTCTTGTTCTCCAATGATCACTGTCCTCCACAGGCGCCCATTGGTGGCACCGCCATCCTCCGCAGCACCATCCCCAAACAGGTCTGCGCTGTCCCCGGGCATGTTCTTGGCGGCGGCCACGGGGGTGTCATCTGGAAGCAGGCCAGGGCGAGCGGAAGGGACGCCTGAGTCCAGACGTTTTGTCCCAGCCTCCTGCCCGGGACCCCCTCTCCCCTGCTGTCTGTGGACGTGTGACCCTCATCTTCCTCCTGTGACACCTGGCTATGTGCTTCTCCCTGCCTGGAGGCCCTGCTGGTCCATTTGCCCCTCCTACTCTCCCTTCATGGCCCAGCTCAAATGCCACCTTCTCCAGTAAGCCCTCTGGGGCCTCCCGTTTGCTGGCCTCCCAGAGCACCCTGTTGGTTTTGGACCCAGAGCCTCTGAACACGCAGGGAAATCGGATCAGCGATGGAAACCCCCAGCTCAGGGAAGCCCAGGGCCAGGTGGCTTCATGGCTGAATTCCAGCAAACATCTAAAGAGGTAACACCAGGGTAACACCAGGGGCGCCTGGGTGGCTCAGTCGAGCCCCGCATCGGGCTCCCTGCTCGGCGGGGGGCCTGCTTCTCCCTCTCCCGCTGCCCCTCCCCCCTGCTCCTGTTCTTTCTCTCTTTCTGTCAAATAAATACATAAAATCTTTATTTATGTATTTATTTGACAGAGAGACATAGCGAGAGCAGGAACACAAGCAGAGGGAGCTGGAGAGGGAGAAGCAGGCTTCCCGCTGAGCAGGGAGCCCAGGACCCCGGGATCGTGACCTGAGCCGAAGGCAGACACTTAATGACTGCGCCCCAATACATAAAATCTTTTTAAAACAAACAAATCCTTCTCCTTCTCGGTACCGCAGAAAACTCGGAGCGTCCTGGGTGCCGGGGTGGGGGGGGGGCGGCGCTGAGCAGGCCTCCTCTCCCCCCCGTCAATGCCAGGAGCACCCCCAGTGTGACAGCCGCAGACATCCCCAGACATGGCCCCGTGACCCCTGGGGCAGGACCGCCCCTCAGGTGAGGCCCCCCACGCCCTGCCCTGTCCCAACCCCTCACCCCACTTTCCTCTTAGCACCGACGACCAGTGGCAACGAGCTTGTGCACCTGTGCTTTATTGTCCAGAGTCTGTCTTCCCGAGGGCCGCGCGTGGGGACGGGCGCCACCTCCCCCGCCGTATCCCTGCCACCCGCCCCGCATCTCAGTCAGGACCTGCTTCTGCACAAATGTTCCCCACACACCTGTGCAAGCATTGGAGGCACCTCACTTTGGACCCGGTCACCTTTGAGAACCACGTGAAAGCCACGTCCCCCCAGAAAAACCCTCAAGTCCACAAGAAGAACGCATGCGGCGTCGCAGCAGGGGACGGGTGCTCTCAGGGCTGCTCTGTGCGCCCTGGGTCGGAGCCCCTGCCCCACCTGAGCCCCTGGGCCTCACCTTCCCACTCCAGCTCATTGCCGTTCCCCAGAAACTCCAGCGAGTCGGTCTCGTCGGGGGTCTCGATGTCGTCCACGTTGATGTCCAGGTCGTCGGGGGTGTCCAGAAAGTCATCAGACAGCAGGGAACCCTCGCTCTGGTCCAGGGAGATGTTGATCTCCGGGGCGACCAGTGTCTTCCGCTTCCGATGAGCTCCGTTGAAGTTCAGCGTGTTGGGAGGGGCTGTGTGGAGAAGGGGAAAATGAGACAAAATCACCTTCGCTGGGTCCTTCTTGGTCCCCTCCCCGTTGTTTCCTGACCCGGTGAGAGCTTCGCTCCATCGTGGGAATGGTAAGAAGTCAAAGGCCATCCTTCGGGGCAGGCAGGGGTTCAATGTTGGAACCTCTCACCCTGCAGACACCTTGACTCTCTAAGCTTGACTTACTTTTACCATCTGCCAGATGGGACTCACACAGGGTGAGCCCCCCCCCCCCGGGCACCCTACCTGGCTCCGGACCCGCCCGTATCTGGTCACTGTTGCCTCTGGATACGGGCGGCAGAGAACGCCCCCCGGGCTACTTTTCACCTCTCCGTATGTTCGCCTCTTTAATAACTGACACCACGCCACATGGGCCCGGCCCTCTGCGAAGTGCTTTCATGTTTGCAACATCCATGCGAGGCAAGTTCTGTTATTATCCCCTTTACCAGGTGAGCAAACTGAGGCACAGAGGGTGCAGGTCCTTCTGGATCTCTCGGGAGCTGGTCAGGGTGGGCATGCCTCATGGTTTGAACTGCTTTCTCCTGGACGCTCTGAGCTGGGACTCTGGTCTCCTTGTAAAAAGTGGCTTCCCTCCCTGCCCCGGGGCTGCCCTCAAGGGGTTAGAGCTGATCCCACAGCGGGCTGAGCAGAGCTGGCCCCTCGGGGGTGATGGAGGTTACTTTCCCTGCGAGGAAAGCGCCCCCCTGCTGCCCCAAGCCAGCTTGAGGGAAAGAGGCTACTCTTCCAGAGACCTTGGGAAGTCACCTCCAGTTTCATCGGCGGACAGTGAGGACAAAATAAAGAGCCAGGGGGAGAGCCCTGCCCCTCTCCCGCCAGATGGAGACATTCATCAATCCACAATTACACGCGCCAGCTCCTCACTTTTTATTTTCTTTGACTTTCTCCGGCCCTAAGCCACGGGTCAGAGGCGACTGCTTCGTGAGACACGAGGAGGTAAATGGCGTGATTTCTAGATCTCACCATGACCTGGTGTGGCAAGCCATGTCACCCACTTAACAGATGGGGACACTGAGGTGGTGACTGCCAGGACCGCTTGGCTGGCGAGGGCAGCACAGTGGGTGGGGAGTGGTGAGTCAGGGGTGCTTGGCAGAAGCAGGGCTCCCTCTCCCTGAGGGGGTAGAGCTGCAGGTCATAGCATGGTGAGAGGGAGCATGGGGGTGTCTGCACAACACTTCTCCCCAGCAGGGAAGCAAGGCAGAGGTAATGCCTATCCCATGCCTGTCCCACCATCATATGTTGGAAGCAGATAACCTGTCCGGTGTCACATGTTCACAGCTGAAGAGGGTTTGCCCCAGGATGAACCACACCTGAGTCTTCTTCCTTTTAATGGCCCTCGACTGATTAGATGCGGCCCACCCACATTATGGAGTGCAATCTGCTTTACTCAGCGTCTACTACTCATTTAAATGTTAATCTCATCAAAAAAGTGACTCTCAACAGGAATACCTAGAATATTTCTTGATCCCGTCTCTGGGTACTGTGTCCCAGCCAAGTGGACACATAAAATTCACCACCATGTCTTCTCCATCTCCTTAACTCAATAAATCTCTTTTGCAAAGTCCCTTTGGCCATGTGAGGGGACATTCGCAGATTCCAGGTTTAGGATTTGAATATCTCTGGGGGCTGTTATTCAACCAGCCACACCTAGGAAGTGGGGTGCTGTTATTACACATTCTTCACTGTACAGAAGTAGGAAACAGGGGTCCAAAGGGGATTGATTCACCCCTCTCTTAGTGCTGTGTGATGTCAAGGATGTGGCTGTCCCTCTCTGGTCACTCTTTTCTCAGAAAGGGTGGGCACTGTGATGAGCCACAAGGGGGAAATGCAGGCAGAAGGGGGGCCCCCAGCAGGACTCTGAGGAGATGCCATGGAGAACAACACATGTTCAGGGCAGCTCCTCTGGAACCTTGGAGCCCTGAGCCCTCCTGAGTGTTTAGGGCAGCAGAGCCTTCCCGGGGCTAACTTTGTGCCTGGCAACCCCTGGGCACTTTATACATGTCACCTCATTAAGTCCTTGCATGCCCCCTTCAGCAGGAAGCTCACTACCTGTATTTAATAGATGAGGACTCGGAGGCACAGAAAGGCTGAGCAACTGGCTCAAGGACACATAGCAACACCACCAGCCAGCTTCGTGACTGGGCCCACATGTCTCTCACTCACCCTGGCTGCTTTCCCTCCAGGCTTCAGAGCAGAACAAGCCCCTTCCCTGACACTCCACCCAGGAGGCACACGGCCTTTGACATGTCTATAGTCTCAGCCTCAGGCAGAGCGAGATCTGGAAACAATGCGCCCATTTCTGCACACTGAAGCGGACACTTACAGGACGTGTCTTCCGCGGGGCTGCCAAGTGGGTCCATCCCCGTCTCTTCCGGGAGTGGCCTGCAGACCCGGCCAAGCGCAGACATCAGCCACCGGAGCGCAGGGAGCAAACAAACAGCAACAAGACTTGGTTAGGTCTGGGGAGTCACTGGGACAAAACACACCTGCTCGTCGGCACAGAAAATCATAACACATCAGTGCCGGAGGGCTCCCTTCAGATGGCCTCGTGGACATTAAGCTGTTCTTTCCTCCTTTTGGATGCAGAAAGCCAAAGCCCAGAGAGAAGGAGGGTCTCATGCAGTACTGTGTCACACAGTTTCACTTTGGAATATATGCAGTACTTTTCAGGGGTGGCCCAGCAGAGTTTGCTCTCTGATGAATTTTGGCTACTAAATGCTGGAAGAAGATGTCAAGAAAACACAGTGATCGGGCGCCTGGGTGGCTCAGTTGGTTAAGCGACTGCCTTCGGCTCAGGTCATGATCCTGGAGTCCCGGGATCGAGTCCCATGTCGGGCTCCCTGCTCAGCAGGGAGTCTGCCTCTCCCTCTGACCCTCTTCCCTCTCGTGCTCTCTATCTCTCATTCTCTCTCTCTCGAATAAATAAATAAAATCTTAAAAAAAAAAAAAAAAGAAAACACAGTGATCAACCAAAAGAGCTCTCCGTGGCCAATGCCGGAACAGTTCGAGCAACAACACACATTTTATGAGTCCATAAAGATGTAAATAAATGAATGAATAAACAGGGAGAAGAGACAAATTTTCTGTGCAGAAGCATTCCAAATAATGTATGTCGATTTCTCTGCCGTCAAGGAGACAGAGAAGGATTCCCTTCTCTGTAAGCGTGGGCTTACAGAGTGTCCCTCCCCAGCCCCAGCATGCAGAGGGGAAGTGAGTGACCAAGCAGTGGAGACACCTGACCGCCCACCTCAGCCAGGGGACCGAGGCCAACGTCCTCAGTGACAAGCCATGGTGATGGCACGTCCTCCGCCCCTGAGATGGCATCAGGGGAAGGGCACTTGACTTGGGGGTCTTCCTCCCAAAACCCATCCCCCCGGCCTCACCATGAGAAAAACCCCAGACAAATCCAAGGAAGGGGCTTCCTTCAAAACCCCTTCCCCGGCCTCCGCGCCACTGTCAAGGGGCATCAAACACCAGGGAAGTCTGAGAAACTGTCCCAGCCCGGAGGAGCCCAAGGAGACGTGACGACTCCGTGTCACATGGGAGCCTGGGCCAGAAAAGGGACATGGGGGGAAACTGAGGAAATCAGAATAGATTGTGGACTTTGCTGAGAATGTTTCAACATGGGTCTATTAATTGTAACAGGTGAACATCTTCTAATATAAGATGTTAATCATAGGACAAGCTGAATGCAGAACATACGGAAACTTTCTGTAATATTCTCGAAAATTTTCTGTAATTCTAAAACTTCTTTATTTATTTACCTTTTTTTTTTTTTAGAGAGAGACATGGGTGGGGGGTGAGAAGCAGAGGGAGAGAGAGAGAAGCAGACTCCCCACTAAGCATGGAGCCCGATTCAGGGCTTGATCGTCTGACCCTGAGACCGTGACCTGAGCCAAAATCAAGAGAGTTGGATACTCAACCGACTGAGCCACCCCGGTGCCCCTGTAAATCTCAAACTTCTAAAAGGTACAGTTTTGTTTTTTTGTTTTGTTTTTAGGATTTTATTTATTTATTTGACAGAGAGAAATATAGCAAGAGAGGGAACACAAGCAGGGGGAGTGGGAGAGGGAGAAGCAGGCTTCCCGCAGAGCAGGGAGCCCGATGCGGGGCTCGATCCTAGGACCCCGGGATCACGACCCGAGCCGAAGGCAGACGCTTAACCGACTGAGCCACCCAGGCGCCCCAAAAGTTTTGTTTTTTTAAATAATGCTGCCAACTGCCAACTATGCATTTGTCCCCCTTTAATCCTTGCCTGAGCATGGATTTGCAAAATAAGACTTTCTTTTTTTCTGGCAATGCCCAGGCCACTTTTGGGAGCGAAAGCTCACGCTGCCTGGGTTTGACCCAGATGCTCCAGCTCCTTTGCTCCCGGGAAATAGTCAACGAGGCAGAACTTTTGCAGAGCGCTCTAGCTCAGGGTGTGCTGACTCGGAAAAGCGCTAATTCACCCCTGTGACCCAGCAGTGCCAGCAGGGCTGAATGGGGAGATGTTCAGGAGAGGAGGGGATGGAGTGATGGAATGCGTTTTCCTTTCCTTTGAAAACCATTCATTCCCTCGCTGCCTCTGTCCCTCTCAGGGCTGATGCCCTTCTTCCTCTGCTCCCCTTCCTCCCACTCATTAACATCCAGTGTTCGTTGAGCAACCACTACCCCCCAGGCGCAGTGGAGGGCCTGGGGGGTAAGGGAAGAACAGGACCTCACTCTGCTCCCATGTAGCTCAAAGGTCCCCACTGAACAGGTCCACAGGAAGTGAAGACACGTGTCCACACAAAAGCTCACACCCCCGTGTTCATAGCGACATGATTCACAGCAGCCAAAACGTGGAAACACTCCAAGTGTCCATCGACAGACTGCGACACATCGACCGCGAGCAGGAGCGGGGCGCCCACACGCACTGGCCCGGGGACGGACCCCGAGCCCACGACGCTCAGGGAGGGAACCAGACACGGAAGGCCACATGGGGTGTGAGTCCACGTGGGTGACACGTCCGGAACGGGCTCATCCGCGGACGGGAAGGGGGCTCGCGGGGGCCGGGGGTGGGGAAATGGGGTAACAAGTGGCTGCCGAGGGGGACGAGGTCTCATTTTGGGGTGATGGAATGTTCTGGAACTAGATAGAGGCGGGGGCTGCACAACATTGTAAATGTACCAAATGCCACTGAGTGGTGCACTTAAGACCGTTGCTTTTAAGCTCTGGGAATTTTCCCTCAGTTAAAAGAAAAACAAGCTTGGAATAAAGTCAGAAGAGGTAGACGGGGCTGACAAGCCAACGTCCAGGCCTGTTTCATGTCCCTACTGCTCCCTGTTGTCTGGGCCTCTCAACATGGGTGACTCATGAAGGAGTCCAGGGCCCCGGAGCCCAGGAAACACACCCGCCACCTGCCAGGTTACCCCAAACTCCAGACTGACGGCGGAGGCACCACCTCTAGTTTTGTCCCGCCCACGCAGTATTTAAAAACATTTTAGGTTTGCTGTCAAATCAGAGACATGACACAAAAACTTTGGATTTCTGTCTTTTCTTCAACCACGGACCTGCCCTCTGTGAGTGGCAGCCACGCACCAGGAGCGGACTGTGCGCCACTCCTGCTGCCCTGGGTGCTGGAATGTTGTTCTGGCTCCTTCCGGCATGTCCACTGCCTGCCAGGTGCCCATCGATGTCTCCGGCTGCAATTCCTGGTCTGGAATCTAACTTGCCCCATGGGCAGGGCACTCGCTGCGCGCCGGCTCGGGATGTTCATGGCATGATCTTACTTGCTCCTCACAGCACCCCTAGCAGGCAGGGAGGAGCCCACTGCACAGAGGAGGAAACTGAGGCTGGCCTTGGGACTCCCTGGGGGGAGGGGAGTAGGAACCGCCCCGCGGCGAGTTGATTCCAGTCATTGCTCTCTGCCGCCCCCTTGTGCTCGTTCAGCACACGTGCACCGACCCCAGTGGGACACCGGAAAAATCCATGGGCCTGGGCGCCCGGTCCTCCGTCCAGCCAGGGGTCCTCTGGACCCCCTGTCCTGCCACCATCTCCCCCCTCCCCCACCAGAAGGAAGCTGCGCTGTTTTGCAGCCCGGGCTGTCTGGTTCCTATCAGGATGTGATTCAGCTTCCCAACCCTGGACGGGTCCACGTAAATCCTCTGTTGGTCACAACCAAGTGGAATGTGGCCCGGCCGCAGCTGAAACGTCAAGTGGGGGAAAGCATCCAGCTGCTCGGCGCAGACGGGGAAACTGAGGCCCCAGGGAGGTAGAGTGGATGTCTGAGAGAGCCTGGAAGCACACTCCCGCTCTGCCACGTTGCAGTGCAACGCACGTGGGTGGTACCCTTCCTGCTCTGAGCCGGTTTCCCTCCTCTGTAAAATGGGAACAGAACTAGCACCTCCTTTTTCATTCCGTTAACAAATGCACGTTGGGTGTTGGGGCTCTGGGCTACATCCCCATTCCGTGCAGAGTGAGGACAGATCCCCAGCCACGGTTAGTCGATCAAACACCATCCAGGTGCTGCTGTCAAGGTGTTTGGTAGACGGACATCCACAATCCTGGGACGCTAAGAAGACACTATACGTGACAATGTGGGTCTCCTGCCACCGAAAGGCATCCAGGTTTCCCAGAGGAGGAAGCAACTCTGCCTCCGGCCAGTGGTGTCACCACAGCCTGCCCCATGCATTTCAGACCCGCCCGTCCCCGTCCCTGCGGGGTGTGAGCCGCTGCCTTGGATTAAGTCCTGTGCGTGGAAAATAACCTACTCGGGGCGCCTGGGCAGCTCAGTCAGACTCTTGATTGCGGCTCAGGTCATGATCTCGGGGTCGTGAGATCTGCGCTCAGCACAGAGTCGGCTTGAGATTCTCCCTCTCCCTCTGCCCTCGCCCTGCTTACTCTCTCAAAATAAATAAACTCACGTACAAAATGATATAGAAAAGTATATAATATATTCTATATATACATGTAAAAGATATCTATAATTATATATACAATTATATGTAATTGCACATAATTGTATGTATAACACAAAAGTGCAATAATTGTATAATATATATTAAAAAAGAATGTGTAAATTAATAAATACAGTAACACCAACAAATAATTTCTTTTTTCTAAAGATTCTTAATTTATGTATTTAACAGAGAGGGAACACAAGCAGGGGGAGTGGCAGGCAGAGGGAGAAGCAGGCTCCCCGCTGAGCCAGGAGCCCAATGCAGGACTGGATCCCAGGATCCTCGGATCATAACCTGAGCCCCAGGCAGATGCTTCACCAACCGAGCCACCCAGGTGACCCAAATAATTTCTATGTAAATATATAATATGACATATTATATAATTAGTATGATTTTTTAACATAAAATATGATTAATAATATATATCATATATATAAAATGAAAAACTATTGGTTTTGT